ATCGCACTCCCTTTAGAATGAACAATCTAGGTGAAAACATGGATAATTTCAAAAAAGTTTGCTGGTAGATTCATTTTAAGGTTTTGGATAAGTTTTAATGACCACTGCAATATGCGCCTCTTGGACATAGTCTTTCTGTCTGTACCAAACCAACAAATCAGATTTATAAAAGTTTTTTCAAACTTGTTTCTGAATACCATATTTGACTGCTATGTAAAATTGTACTTACTTTATTGTTATAATATATTTCAATAATAAATACTGTTTAAACTAACTCAAGAGACCATTTTCCAAAAAGCTTTCAAACATGGTAGAATTAATAATCTTGACCATGAACTCTATTGTCATTTAAATTTCTGCAGTTTTGGATGTCTAAGATTTGTAACATTTTTGGCCATAATTGAACCTTAAAGCCAAAGAAAGAACGGATTGCAATTTTTTTTAGGCTTGTACAAATGTATATTTGACACTGAGTATGGTATGTGGGATGGATAAAAACATTTAGAAGGAATATCATTAAAAAGAGAGTGTTTGAATTTCCAAGAATGAGGCAAATGTAGAGCAAAAACTTGAACACAATAATTACATTGTTCATTTATAAATAAACAATTGTACCAGAGATTGGCAATTTTTTAAAGTCTTAAACCTAAACTTAATAAGTCTAGATTGAATCAAATAGGGTATACATGTGCAGTTGAATTATTTTTGAGAAAGAATACTAATATCAAAAGAAACAATAGCAATCATATCCCTCACAGCAATCAAGTTCTTTGATTTATTAGTTGTTATTGCCTTTAAACTTAAGTTTTAGTAACTGTGAGTACTCTTAGATCTGTACTTTGTGTCTTTAATATTTACCATAAAAATGGTACCATATGCTACAAATTTGTTTTTTGGGGATATAATTCAGAATATTTTGTTAATAATGGGCCCAAAAATTAAACATGCTACACCGAAGAACAAAGTTCAGTATGCTGGATTTTTCACTGACAACATATTTGTGGAATTTGGATATAGAATTTTTCCAGCAGGTTTCGGCATTCCAATGGGAACCAACTGTACACCTCTTCTGGCTAACCTTTTCTTATTTTCATATGAGTGGGAGTTCCCTCAGACACTTGTAAAAACAAGTAGATCAAAGATGATAGATCATTTAAGTTCACATTCAGGTTTATTGATGATGTTTATCCGTTGACAATTCAATCTTTTCTGATAGGGTCCCATTAATATATCCTTCTGAACTAGAGATCAAATTGATTGATTGATTGATTTGTGTTTAACGCCACTTTCAACACTATTGTGCTATTTCGTGGCGGTCAGTTTTTATTGGTGGAGGAAACCGGAGTGCACGGAGAGAACCACCATCCTTCCGTAGGAAAACTGACAATCCTAGTCAATTAAGATTGGAATCGAGTGCACCTGCCCCGTGCGGGATTCAAATTCACAACCTCAGTGTTGACTGGCTAATGGTACAGTAGTTGGACTACTTAGACCACTTGGCCACTGAGGCCCCACAAGAGATTAAAGAAACCACAGATACATCTTCCTCTGCTCATTTCTAGACATATACATGAAATTCTACTACAGCAGTCACCTCAGTACCAATATTTATGACAAAGAAATTGTGTATCTTTTTATTTACGTTACAGTTTTTCCTTCATTTGTCTTGAGCTGTTATGTGCCTTTTGTCATATGACTCCTGATGCGACTCTGTATTTGTGCATCCAGCTATCAGGTTTTTGGCTTTTGGTGTTCCTGGTGCCGGTGGGTCCAGAGGTGGGATTCCAATGCTGTTTCACAAGTATGGGGAAGGTTGGGCGCCCCCTACCATGTTTTACCCTGTCACATTTTGTATTAATTAGCCTGTTCCAAGTCAGGAGCCTGTAATTCTGTGGTTGTCGTTGTTACTGTATATCTTATTTGTTTTATGTTTATTTTTTTGTATACAAATCAGGTGGTTTGTTTTCTCGTTTGAATTTTTCATTTCGGGGCCTTTTATAGCTTGCTATGAGGTATAGGTTTTGCTCATTGTGAAGGCCATACAGTGACCTATAATTGCTTACTTCTATGTCATTTGATCCCTGGGGAGAGTTGTCTAATTGGCAATCACACCATGTGTTTGTCTTGCCTTGACGGAGTGAAAAAGCGAGACATAGGTATGCTGTTTCCGGCAGCTGGGGCGGTGTCAACAATGCATTAGATGTGATTAGGTCTAGTTTATTGTGAACCACTAGTGGTAGGTCAATGATATTTGGTATGCAGTTGTATTAGCATTGGCACATCTCATTTCCATAGAGATAATTTGGCCCTTCCCCCTCGGTCATGGTCTATTGACTTTGAACCTTTTGCTTAGTTTACAGGTATTAGTTTGTGATTAGGTCATTTTTTGAGGAACCACTAGTGGTAGGTCAATGATGTTCGGTATGCAGTTGTATAAGAATTGGCATATCTCATTTCCATGTAGGTTATTTGGCCCCACCCTCTCAGACTTGGTCTATTGACTTTGAAACTTTTGCTTAGTTTACAAGTATTAGTTTGTGATTAGGTCAGCTTTTAAAAGCGGAACCATTAGTGGTAGGTCAATAATAATTGGTATACAGTTGTATAAGCATTAGCACATCTCATTTTCATGGAGAATATTTGGTCCTTACCCCCTCAGACATGGTCTATTGACTTTGAAACTTTTGCTTAGTTTACATGTATTAGTTTATGATAGATCAGTTTAAGATGAACTACTAATGTTAAGTCAATGATATTTGGTATGCAAATGTATTGGCATTTGCAATAAAATTGAGAATGGAAATAGGGAATGTGTCAAAGAGACAACAACCGAAGGCCACCAATGGGTCTTCAATGCAGGAAGAAAGTCCCGCACCCGGAGGCGTCCTTCAGCTCATCAAGCAAGCTTCAGCAAGTCTCATTTCCATGGAGATTATATAGCCCCACCCTCTCATCATGGTTTATTGACTTTGAAACTTTTACATAGTTTACAATTTAATGTATGTGTAAAGGGAATGACTTATGATAAGTCAATGATATTTGGTATGCAGTTGTATTAGCACTGGCACATCTCATTTCCATGGAGATTGTTTAGCCCTGTACCTTCAGTCATGGTTCATTGACTTTGAATATTTGCATAATGTGTAATGAAAAGTTTTTGCCATTGAGTGAATCCATCAAATATAAATAAAAAAAATTGGTACAAAGTCCCAAAAGATAGAGTTCACTAACACAATGATGTAAGCAGTATTTAAGCATCATATTATACTTTAAGCACTGAGTCTCCAATACAAATGTATTATCCTATGCATGAGAGAAAAAAATATCAAAATTACTAAGAAATATAGTATGTTTAAATATCAGAATTGATCATAAAAACCGTCTATATAAAGTCATTGTCATCTTGGATTAATACATGACTTGGTCCTATCTAGATCTATGGGTCCTAGGTGTGATGCATGCGATGATCTGGGCACTGTGGACCATTTTACTGTGGGTGTTATGAAATGTAGTTTAAATTTTGCTTTGCCTATTTAACCTTAATATACTTTTGTAGCATTGATCCCATCATCAAGGCTGTATATAATTAAGATTACAGTTCAACTTTTAAACTTTATGTGTTATATGTTAGTATTACTGAATTTGAACTTTTCATTTCTGTATTAATCCTTTTCTTCCTCATTACTTTTCATATTTGAAAAAATTTGGATTTTCCTTTTATATAAATTCATTGTAAATTTATATATTTACTTTTCTAAATTATTATTTGCAATACATCCAAACCTTTAAACAGACTTATTCAGAAGGGATATAGTTACGATACTGTTGTCAGGTCATTAAGGATTGCATATTTTGGTATTAATATTGATTCACTCATAGGGTCTTTGCATTGGAAATAAACATTTATTCTAAAACCAGTTGTTGGCATGATACGGGTTATGTTCTTCTCATATATTTTATGATGGTATGATACTAAACCCCTAATGGGAGGGATTGTACCTGATTTTCATATGATGAAGACATAATCTTTCAATCTTTTTAATTGAGGTCTGGAGCTGGCATGTCAGTAACTGCTAGTAGTCCTTTGTTAATTTATGTATCATTGTCATTTTGCTTAGTTTCTTTTGTTACCTATTCTGACATCGGACTCAGACTTCTTTTAAACTGAGTTTTACTGTGTGTATTGCTATGTGTTTCTTTATTCTACATTGGCTAGAGGTATAGGGGGAGGGTTGAGATCTCACAAAACATGTTTAACCCGCTCCATTTTTGCGCCTGTCCCAAGTCAGGAGCCTCTGGCCTTTATTAGTCTTGTATGTTTTTTATAGTTTTAGTTCCTTTATATGTTTTGGAGTTTAGTGTGACATCCATTTTCACTGAACCAGTACACAATTTTATTTAGGGGCCAGCTGAGGACCACCTCCGGGTGCGGGATTTTCTCGCTGCGTTGAAGACCCATTTATGTATTTCCATTCTCAATTTTATCCATGATTAATTTTATCTTTATTATTCTTATTCTTCATAAATAAGTATACAGTGTGTATTTTTTTGTTGTTGCACTTATTTACCTGTACATCAATTAAATCTAAATCACTAAAACAACAGATTACCTTATAACAACAGCTATTGTACTTTGTTTGTAGGAATAGAAGGAAAATGTATTTTCAAAATGTAGGAATAGCAGGAAGACACCTTAATTTCAACATTTGCATTATCAAAATAACAAAAAGGGGAGACATATCTCTGTGTTAACAGTTTATCTTATTTTTATCTAAGTATTTTCAAAACAAAAGTATATAGTTTAATAGATAGGTGCTTACATCCACATCATTTGGACTCTGGTGGACAGTTGTCTCATCGGCACATCTCCTAATTTTATAAATTCCATATTTAATAATTAATTAATTAAATCTAAAGTCATCTTGAATATGCATGACATGTTTGCTACTGGAGTAACTGGACCAATACGAGTATTTCATGTTTTTTACGACTCTACTTACCATGCCCCATGTGCTTCTGTGAAGAGGTGATGATAGTAAGAATGGTTCTGTTATTCCAGAGTCATACAAATTAGTTCTGCCATTAGGGAAGGGTATACCATTATCAGATGTATAAATTATCAATGTATCATCTAAATATCCAGCTATCTCTAGCTCTCTCAACACTAACCCAATACCTATAATATAATGAAAACCACAATAGATAAAAATATTATTTATTGTAACAATAATTTCTTAGTGGTGTTTCAAATATTGAATTTTGAAGAAAAAAACCCAATCATTTTAGGTAATTCCTTAGAAATTTTGCAGAAATTCATCAATCATTTATAAAACAATCCATCAAAGCCCAACTTTGGTTGATTTATACAGATAATTGGTATTAAATCATGGATTGATGACTTAATGTGGGGGATATGGTACCATCACTAAATAATTGCATGAAAATGGTTGAAACTGAAGAAGGGGAGACAATTTCTACTATTAAAAATTTGTTATGCGTGACAACCATGCATGATCACAAGACATCTGTAAGTTGTGCATCAATTTTGATTTGTTTTCAACCTTCACACCAAAAACTCTAAAATTGTGTCATTTTCCTATCAATATTTTGATAGGAGCAACAGGCTCATCAAAAAGATCAGTGATAATCATGTCTTCTCATGATGATTTAAATACTGTGGATTCATTTATTTCTGTGGGTATCAATTTTCGTGGATAGAGAAAAAAAGACGTTTCGTGGTATACGTAAATTCGTGGATTGCTGATTATAAAAAAAAAATTCAGATACGTAATTCGTGGATTTCTTTTTGATTTAGGAGATCATATAACCTCCTTGGTTTGATCAATAATAAAACAAAGAAAAAAGAAGGAATTCATTGAAAAAACTTTTGAATTGTCAAAATCCTCGCTTGGTCATTCTAGGTTAAAGTGTTCATTGAAAACTTCTATTACAATAATGGACAGAGACAAATAATTATTTGTTTGTTTTACAATTTATAAATTCTTGTCGGAATTTTATAAGGCATTCAAAACTCTATGATTAAAAGCTCATTTCCCTAATCAGATATAATAAACAGTCATATAAGTAAAAGGTGTGAAAATAAATGTTCATGTCATAAACAATATTGCCTACGGGCAATATCCCCGTACTTAATCCTATTAATTTTTTAATCACCAGTAAACCAAACTATGACACGATAATTAACAACTTGCAGTTATTTTCCATGAACAGTTTTAATCAATTTTAAAAAGTAAATTATCACTGATATTCGATATATTTATTATTGATTTAACCAAAATACTTGTATCTTCTTTCAATAAAAACTTGTGTTATGTTACAATGTTTATGGCTAGTCAACACTATACTAGAACTGCATAACATAACCGGAAATAAACATCCGACTCCATACACATTTCTCAGGATTATTCTTCGTTGAATTCTTAAATTCGTGGTTCGCTGTGACCCACGAAACCCACGAAAATTGGTATACCACGAATAAAAATGAATCCACAGTATGGTTCTTTTTAGTAAAGGTGGTGCAAATATTTATATTTTACCTATAAATTTATATTTTATGAATTGATAAATATTGCCAGTTTTCCAGCTGAAGGACATGGTTCTCTCCAGGTTCTCTGGCTTCCTCCACCAATGAAAAATAGTCGCATTGATGTAGCAAGTGTGCTGAGAAGGTGTTAAAACATCAACAATTAATCAATCAATAGATGAATATTAATTTACTATTTTTGGTTTCTGGTACAAAAGCAAATTATGCCATGTTTATGACATGACTGTGACATCATAACTGATAGATTTGCATTCAAATGGTAAATTACAATGAATTTGCAGTAATCTGGTACCAAATAAGAAAACAAAAGCACTATATGTCACCTTGATCTAGCCTACTAATAGTTGTGTACTGAGCTGCTATGTCTCTTCTTGATGCTGGTGTGTCCTGGACAAAATATGGTACAATGACATCATCAGGGTTATAGGTCAGTGGTGTCCAATCAGGTATAAATCCCATCCCAGGACTGCCATCACCAAACTTTTCACAAAATTGTCCATATTGTGGATGGGTATGGCCACATCTATGAGGATCATGAAACCCAATATATAACAGAAATGGACTGAAAAAGTTTTAAATATATATTTTTAAAAAAAGAGGACAAGCAGCTTGGTCTATCATTAAAACAAAGAATGCAGACAGTGAAATGTCTGACCTGCTTAACTTATCAGGATTTAACTTATGTTGAAAGTCTCTTATATGAAGGTTTTACTACATGTATCACAATAACTTAACATTATCAATGATCCATGTAAATGAGGTTAAGGTCAGAGGCACCCGTCAGACAGGTATGTACACCTTACAATCAAACCAATTTTGTTTTGTTTACCTACTGGTTCCCAGGTATGATCTCTATGTTTCGTCTCATACAGACACAACTTGGGAAATTTTACCAATATAAATGCACATGGATAGCGGCCAAATTGAATTCTGAGAAAAGACCCAAAGTGAAGGTTGGGGGGGGGGGGGGGGGGGGGGTAGGTAGTACAAAATTTTAGTATAAGTTTAAACTTGTAAAAGAAGTTTGAGGCATATAAATGTTGAAAATATGCCGCACAATCCTATGTTTTGACCTTGGAAAAAAAATAGTAGTGCATATGAGCTTTCCATTAAACAATATAATTTTTAAAGAAACTTCATTGCATTGTTGTCTATATTTACAGAAGTGCAACCTATATCATTTGAGAAACAGACCTAATTACGAAAACTGAACATTTACGGTCAAGGTCAGATGAACCCTGCCAGACAATCTGTATTCCATACACCAAATATAGTTGATCTATTGCTTACAGTATACTTATCTGAAAAACTGACAAAACCATGAAAACTTAACATTGACAAATTAACTATGAAATGAGGTCAAGGTCATATGAAACCTGCCAAATGTACACCTTAAATACAATCATACCTTTTTATAGCTGACTACACAGTTTGGGTTGCGCTCATTGCTTAGGGCAATACATTGAACTATAGTAGTCTCAATGGTAATCAAACCCATCTTCTTATTTTATATATTTTCATTTTGTTTTTGACTTAAGTATTGAAATAAAAATAAATCAGATGTTGTTTTATACATATCTTACTGATATTAGGGGATGTTTTTACTTATCAGTATATTTATGGGAGATAATAATGTTAGCCAATTAAAATAACATTACCAGAAAATGAAATATACACAGAGAGATTACCTTACTGAATTTTCACTACATATATATTATTAAAAATCAAGCTGTGAAGTTGTTTCTATTCTGATTTTCATGAAAATTTAATCTTTAAAAGAAAAATTATTATTGTATATCTTACCTAATCAAACTTACCTTGATTTATTTTGGCTCAAGAATTTTCTAACAAGAAGTTTGATGTTGGTAATATTTCTCCCCACTTGTAATATGCTATTATTTTCTTCTGTTTCTTCAAAGTCAAATGGATAGACTGCCTCAGGACCAACATGTTTCTTCCCAATAATTCCTTAAAGCAGTAATTATAATTATGCAATACAAGGATGATGTCAGAAATGATATCACTGTCCTAGTCTGTTCCTATCTCTTGATATGCCACTAGAAGAAAATATCAAATTAGATAAACATTTCAAAATCTTTTGGTCAAGAAGAACTTGAGTGTACATGAATAAAGTTAGTCCTCAACCATGTATCGTTTGAAGTGTAGTCAATATCATAGGTTTAAATAACGAATGAAACCATTTTCTAACTTTTTTAAATCAATACTAACCATATCTTAAATACAAATCAATTCCAGATCATTATACAATTTGAACTTTTTGTATGTCAACTCGAGCTCTGACTCAGTGCTCATAATACAAACTGAAGTGAATGTATGTCATTTCGGATTTCAAATGGAGAGTCACCAATTTACATCTGGCTAAAGGATAACAGATATATTTCTTCTTTGAAATGTCATTTAGTTGTTACACCTATAAGTACCTGTTCTTATGCCAGCTTTATTTATTATCTTTGGAAGACTCTGAACATCACCAAATGACATAAAATGGTGGACATCTTGATGAAGGCCATACATCCCATTTTGGTGCTGTGGTAAACCAGACAATATCACAGACCTATAAGCAAAAGTATTGTTTAATAAAATGCTCTGCAGGGCGCAGCTTGATATGACCGCAGAGGTCGAACCCTGAACAGTTGGGGCAAGTATGGACACAACATTCAAGCTTGATACAGCTCTGAATTTGGATTGTGATTAAATATTTGACACAGCATAGGTTTCTGACACAGAATGAATGTGGTCTAAGAACTTAAAAATTTTAAATTGGACATTCACCTATTATGGTCCAATATCCAAAATCTAAATACATGGTTAGATTCAGCATATCAAAGAACCCCACGAATTCAATTTTTGATGAAATCAAACAAAGTTTAATTTTGGACCCTTTTGACCTCAATGTGGACAAATTTGATAACGGGGCCCAAAAATCAAAAATCTAAATACATGGTTAGATTCAGCATATCAAAGAACCCCATATATTCAATTTTTGTTGAAATCAAACAAAGTTTAATTTTGGACCCCGATTTGGACCAACTTGAAAACTGGGCCCATAATCAAAAATCTAAATACATGTTTAGATTCAGCATATCAAAGAACCCTAAAAATTCAATTTTTGTTAAAATCAAACTAAGTTTAATTTTGGACCCTTTGGACCTTAATGTAGACCAATTTGAAAACGGAACCAAAAATTAAGAATCTAAATACACGGTTAGATTCAGCATATCAAAGAACCCCAATTAAATTCAATTTTTGATGAAATCAAACAAAGTTAAATTTTGGACCCTTTGGACCTCAATGTGGACCAATTTAAAAATGGGGCCCAAAATCCAAAAACTTAATACACGGTTAGATTCAGCATATTAAAGAAACCCAAGAATTCAAGAATAAAACCCCCATTGAAATTGATCAAGAAATAAGCAATTTACTTATTTGTATCTTCTTTTGCACAATACTGTGCAATTGAATATTTCTTGCTATTGCGCAATACTGTACAATTGACAATTTCTTGCTATTGCGCAATATTGTACTATTGGATATTTCTTGCTATTGGGCATTACTGTGCAATTGAAGATTTCTTGCTATTGCGCAATACTGTGCAATTGAAGATTTCTTGCTATTGTGCAATACTGTGCAATTGAAAATTTCTTGCTATTGCACAATACTTATTATATAATAATTTACACATCCTGTTTGGTGTGTATCTCCTACCATATCATTATTATTTGCTTTTAAATATTAATCAGAAATAACCAACTTAAAATGGAAAATTTTAAAAGAAAAAAAAAGGAAAAAAAAAAAAAAAAAGAAAAAAAAAAAATCCCCCCTCCCAAATTTTTTCAACCCCCTTATGATTCATCACCCCCAAACTCAATACCAGCCTTCCCTTTGTGGTATGGTACCTTGCAGTACAATTTCAGAGAGATCCATACACTTGAACACAAGTTATTGTCTGGAAACTAGAAAAATGCTTATTTTTGGCCCCTTTTTGGACCCCAATTCCTAAACGTTTCGGGCAATTACCCCCAAACTCAATTCCAGCTTTCCCTTTGTGATATGGAACCTTGTAGTACAATTTCAAAAATATCCAAACACTTACACACAAGTTATTGTCATGAAACTAGAAAAATGCTTGTTTTTTGCCCCTTTTTGGGCCCCTAATTCCTAAAATTTTGAGGCAATTACCCCCAAAATCAATTACAGCCTTCCCTTTGTGATATGGAACCTTGTGGTACAATGTCAGAGAGATCCATACACTTACACACAAGTTATTGTCTGGAAGTTACAAAAATGCTTATTTTTGGCCCCTAATTCCTTAACTGTTGGTACCATAACCCCCAAAATCAATCCCAACCTTCCTTTCGTGGTATTGAACCTTATGGTAAAATTTCATGGAGATCCATTCACTTAAACTAAAGTTAGAGTGCGAAAACCAATGTGTCTTCGGACGACGACGACGACGACGACGATCAACGATGCCAACGTCATACCAATATACGACCAAAAAATTTTTAATTTTTGCGGTCGTATAAAAAAGAATAAGAGATGAGTTTATATATATATATATGTGACAACAAACACATAAATATTGGAAAATGACAAAAATTTCAGAGGAACAACTCTGTTGTAGCTATTCCAATATATTTTAATGGTCTTTGGTAATAAATTAAAAAGAGATAAGACCTATCAACAGTACCAAGATGCCTCGAGAGATCCTAGTGTTGAATTATGCAGTGCTCTCTAATATTCAATGATAAATGATACAATATGTCTTCAAAAGATCATGTGAAAGAAACTCTGATAAAAAAATGGTATATAAAACTATCAGGACTGATGTTTCCTGACACATTCTATCATATGGTGCATGGAAAGGGCTGTAAAATATAGTATAAACTACCAAAAAACACACAAACCAATAACAGGGCATTTGTGGAGAGAAAATAACTTGCCCAAGGAAAAAACACTTGAGATATGTACTCATTTTATGTTTAAAATTAATTTCAGTTGGAAAAATCCAGAACAATCAATTGATTAGTTGAAATAACACTGGCTTGTTACTGTTATTTGTCAACATGGTCAAGGAATACCTACCTGCTGGGAGAACAGCTACTAACAGATGTGAAGGCATTAGTGAAAATAGAACTTCTTTCTGCTAGTTTGTTTAAATTTGGAGTTTTACACACTGTATTGTTGTAAACTGATGTTTCAAATCCTGCATCATCAGCTACAGAATGAAGAAAAATGTAATATTAAAATATAAACATGAAAAATACGGAAAAAGTATAGTTTTAAAATAACGAAACAACTGATAATTCCCTCGCATACTCTTTATCCCCATAGTAAATTTGAGATGTCAGTGCAGCTATCAACAGGATAATCACTAACTAGAACAAGGAAATAAAAGTTGACGAATAAATTTGAAATAAAGGTAAAAATATACAAATGCAGGAAGCTAGCTAAGGTAATCACAGCTGTTGTTTGATCACAGCCACTAAAGAAAAAACATTCAGAAGTGATTAAGTGAAAATCAACATTTACATAATCTGGACATTTTAGTGCAGGAAGGTCACTTGTGATGTTATGATGATGTCATAAAAATGATGTAATTTAAATGTTTGACCTAAAATGGCTATTTTATACATACATAACAGCAGCATAACATGGATGAATTCCAGACACGTTGGCACTGAGACAAATCAGCGCCAGGACAATTCATACCTCTGAAAATCATTTCAGCACTCAAGAAAGACAGTTCAGTATCAAGACAAATCAGCACCTAGACAAATTGGCACCTCATCAAGCTGCTTTTTTATATTCCACTGTTGAGCTTTCAGACCTTATTATTCACAACTAATTGTGTGACCACAATGGCCTGATGCTGATGTAGGATTTCTTAGAATTAAATACATGTTTTCGATTTGGAAATTTTGTGTTTTTTTGGGGGTCAGTCAAAGCAAAAGTAATATTTGTAATATGAAATCATTCGTGGAGTATATAATAAATTCGTTAAATAAATTGAGAACAGAAACGGGTAATGTGTCAAAGATACAACAAACCGACCAAAGAGCAGAAAACAGCTCAAGGCCACCAATGGGTCTTCAACACAGCGAGAAAATCTCGCAACTGTATGCCGGCTTTAGCTGGCCCTTTAACAAAAATGTATACTACCCGTAGTTCAGAGAAAATGGACGTCACACTTAACTCATCTAGTGATATGCATGGATCTTTAGTAAAATAACAAAATATATGTAACACATTTATTCTATTTATTCAAACTATCAATTCAATCAAAATAAAACAGTAAATATACATCAACAGCACTAGATGAACCTTAATTGCTCAGAAGAAGCACACATGAAAGTTAAAATGAAGTACTGAGAACTATATAATACTGTTTAATACATCAAGTTTAACTTTTTTATATTGTCATTTTGGTGGTGGACCATTCACACTGGCACATTCTTTGATGTTGCAAACTCGCAGTACTGTATTACGTACATGGGGGGATATATACTTGCCTCATGCCGCTGAACTTACATTTGCTTGAGAGCAACAAAAACACATCTATTGCCATGGCACGTTTATTTAGAAGAAAGAGATAACATCACATCACAAATATGCATCCCCCCCAAGGGTGACTGGGGAATAGAAATATGGTCACCATTGGTCTTCCTCCGACCGGCGGTAAAACCCTCGCTAAAGTGGGGCGTGCGTTTGGCTGTGCGGAATGTACAAGTTCGCAGTCACGTCCGGTCAGAATGGGGACGTTAAATCCGATGCCTCGTGTAAAGAGAGTGCCACGCTCTTTGCACGTTAAGAACCCTTGTAACAACTCTTTGAGGGGTCCGTAGGTGGCCTGTTGCAAGGCTAAATTTCTGTCCCTATCCAATATACCCTCATTTCCCGTGGCAGTCAAAATTACTCCGACCTTAATCCCGGAAGCCCCTATTACAGAACCTACCTATTGTATTTATTGTTAACTTGTTCTCGTCCTGAATATGCATGAAATATTTGCCACTGGACGTTAAGCAACCAACAATCAATCAATCAAATATGCATCATCATACAAAGGGACACAACTCTCATGACTTAACTATAAAACACATATGACCATACATATACATCACATTCCGCCCCCAAAAAGAAAATTTCTCAAATTTTATTAATATGGTGTTTGTGTTTTTTTCCATATACAATTTCAAGAAAAAAGAGAAAATGCACTATAATTCAAACTATATAATCACTTCCTTGTTGGACTAAAATATGTTTCCAAATAATCTTTGTAAATACATTTGTAATAACTGAAACATTGGAGGCTGACCAGTTTCACATCTAGCATCCATTGGCTTACACACCAGTATCAACTATGCATTAAAAAAATATAAAAATCCGAACGTCTGGCATCTCGATCCCCGTAGGACCTTTTGCACCCATTACGTTCAATCAACTACATGTACTGAAAAAAAAATATGCATTTGATACATTTACTCGCTCTCCCAAATGGAAAATACTAGAGTATGTAAACAATAAATTGAAAATTGATAGATAATCATTAGAGACCTACAACTCTTAACAATGGTAAATATTACATCAATGAAACATTTCATAAGTTGCATATGCCAGTAAAAGAAAATATGTCTAATTCTCCCTTTCTATCATGTCCAATCTCTCATACTTCACACTCACAAAAAAATAAAATAAAAATGAAACATATGAAAAGCTCCAGAAATGACAATATCAACCTAGGTTTTATTTATGACTATTATCAAATTGCTACTGACAATCCGCTATCAAATCAGTCCAACAGCAATTTGATGTATTTAAACAACACACACATACCAGATAATTTATATAAAAAATACTTGAGACAAAATTGAATTCATAATTATATGTTTGAAATTAGAGTCCGTGTTTTCCTTGTAACTGGGTAGTGTACGACTAGATAAATCTCGCACGTTCCATCTCTGTAGTAGAATTTCTTAATCGTTTTAAACTGTTATACATTTATCATGCTAAATACACATTGCAAATATAATATATAGGTCAGGCCGATTAATTCCGAAAGATAAATCCAATTACTGAGCAACAATTTTCAAAGTAAGATGATAAGGAGGTCACATTACAGTTTTTTCTGCACACATAAACACACACAGCTGTATTTCTTGATATCCAACTCCAATACGGGTTTAAAGTTTGTTTATTTATGTAGAAATTTATATCGAGTCCAAATGAAACATTAAAGTTCAGATTACAAATAAACAATTGCGAAAGACTTTCGATGATAGATATGTAGTTTATTAACAGTTCTTTAAATCTTACAAAAAATGTACAGTTGTCTTTTTGTTGACAAAAACTCCCATGGTGACTTCTGAATATTGGCTAAATCCACCTTTACATCCAAATTTTACATAAAATCCAAAAATCTGGTCCGGTGTCAAATGCAGGGTACAACTATACACTACTGAACAAAAATTCCAAGATTTCAACGTAGTCAAAATTTACTAATGGCACATTACCAGCCTCATAGTCTAGACTTTTAGAAGTTGATTCATCATCTTTGGGGAAAACAGCTCACTTTCTTTAAGACGATAAAAAAATTGACAAATTTTGATGAATCACGTTAAATATTTTCCTAAAATAACGGTACTGATAATTATTTGAGACCTCTGACGAATCACGATAAGGATATTTTGACGAATGACTGTAAAATTTTAACCAATTTGACGCTAACGGTAGCCGAAAATGACCGTTTGACGCCTGACGGTAAAGGACATTCCTACCCTCATATATGATATAGTGATTAATACATAGTAAAATCCATATCATATGCTGTATCAGCCTGAGTATAACCAATATCAGCTAGAAGGCTGATATTGGTCAAGGGGGATACAGCATGTGATACTGATTTGACTATGTATTATTCTCTATATACATGTACTGGTCCCAGCATTTGTGAAGCAAAGTTAATCTAAAGCAAAAAGTATCTTGGTATAAAAAAAAAGCCTAGTCCTATTTACATATGACTTCACATTGGCTTAGGGAGCTACCATTTGATTTTTATGGGGGTCTAAGGATGAAAAATTTTGTCCTGCATTTTTTTTTTAGTTGTAATCTCTGTCATGTCTGTTCTGCCTTTTTATTTTTCACTCTATTGCCAGTATTGGGTCCTGCCTTTTTTTTTATTAGTTTATCGTGACTTTTTTTTTGCCAAGTTGCTCATCCTGCCTTTTTTTTTTACTCAAACACTCCTGTCCTGCCTTTTTTTCAAATTTCATCCTAGCCCCCACCCCCATAAAAATCAAATGGTAGCTCCCTTATTCAATTTTTAATGTTTTTATACTGATATTTTCATTTTTTTTAATGCGAAAAGGGTGAAACATTGATAGTAAAATAAAATAGTAAATAAAAAAAAAATTAGCAAATTATAAAATAAAAGAAAATTTATCAGAAATCCGGTCATATCATATGTTATTAGTCCAAATAATTATGACGTCTTGAAAGGCTATTATATTTATTTTATATGGAATTTGATGCGACTGTCATACAAGTGAGAGGTTTAGCTAGCTTTAAAACCAGGTTCAATCCACCATTTTCTACTTAAGAAAATGCCTGTACCAAGTCAGGAATATGACAGTTGTTATCCATTCGAATTCGTTTGATGTGTTTGAACTTTTGATTTTGCCATTTGATTGGGGACTTTCCTTTTTGAATTTTCCTCGGAGTTCAGTATTTTTGTGATTTTACTGTTCTCTTTGACGCCGTCGATGTAAGGCGTCAAAGTCAAAGAAAAAAAATATAATAGCCTTTCAAGACGTCATAATTATTTGGACTAATATGTTATAGGACTAAATTAAATTTAGCCATACTTCATTAATATGACATACCTTTAGAATTATTTACCTATAATAATGAGAACGTTCTTTGATGTGATAGAATCGACTGTAAGAAATAGGATAAAGGTGCAAACAAGACCATTGGAAAACGTTTTTACTTTCATTTTCGTTAATGCTGAAATTGTACAGTTATATAATTAGCTCCCTTGTAATTATCTCCCTTAATTTATAATCAACCATTGGGTTTTTAAACTTTTTTGTGCAGGTACGAGAAAAATTGATGTCGGCATAAAATTGAACATTTTCAGGTAAAGAGGATAATTCAGTTAGAAGTTTATATGATTTGGTTTTTTATTAATTTAAATTATTTGCATTACGATTGATTACCTTTGCTGATGCAGAAGAAACAGCAAAAATTATGCGCATCATCATCATGATTTAAGGTTCATCTATACACTTTTAACAAAAATGGCTGTGTTTACACCATGAAATTTTCTCTGAGTACAGACAAAACTGTGTAATTTTTAAAGTTTTTAAGCCTGGCAGCACCTAGATGAATAAATGTTACATCCAATTTATGTTCTAAAAAGTAATCACACTTTTATAATATGGATTTTGATGAACATTTTCTTTCCTTGCCAAATAAGATGGTGAAATAAACAAACACCTGAGTTTTCTTTTATGCAGTCCACTCATTTACACTATTTAAATCACCTTTGTTGTGAGTACGGCACGTAATAGTCAAAGTTGTGACTGAGTGCGGAAATATGAAGATAGATAGATAGAGTAGATTTCTATTGTCCCTCTATTGTCCATTTCAATCAATATGATACAATACAATCATTACCATCTCACGTAATAGTTATCCCATGAGGACGCGGTGTGTCAGTGTATGATCATCCCGATGGCCAGAGGCCAGCAGGGGTGATCTAACACTGACACACCAAGTCCGAATGTGATAACTATTTTACATCCCAGCTGTTCTAGATTAGATAAAAAAACATTTATGCATCATAAAATCTAGTTCAGAATGCCACACAATCATTATTATTTACTTTATATATTACTATATGGTATATACCCTTTATGAGCCCCGGACACAATGTTTAAATATGTTAAATCATAGATTTATGTGTTTATACATCTATGTTTAAATTAACATTGATTTGTATCCAGTCGTGCTGGTGTAGGGGTATGACTCCTGGGTCTATATATGCTAAAGGTCTTGAGTTCGATTCCCAGCATTAGACACTGAATTTTTCAATATAAATTTTGATAGTTAGTCTTTTCTGTATAAATAATTCTAAGTTTTAGTATAAATTTGACATTCCCGCTAAAATGTTACAGAACAAAGGAAAGCATGCAGAACAAAGAAACTCAAGCTAGGGTGATCCGGCTCAGATCACCCCTGGTAGAACAAAGGAGCTGGGATTTTACATGACTTAGTTTATTTTTAAACCACCTGTGGCAAGGAAAGAAAATGTTTAGCAAAAACCACAAAGGTTTTTATCTTTTTAAAACACAAAATGAATACAACTTGTATATATCTAGGTGCTGCCAGGATTTAAAACCATTAAAATTACACAGTTTTGTCTGCAATCAGAGAAAATTTCATGGTGTAAACACAGCCATTTTTGATGAAGTGTATAGATGAACCTTATAGCTAGTTTAGTCCAAATAATTTATGACGTCTTGGAAGACTATTTTATTTTCTTGCTTTGACGTCTTCCTGTGACGAGGGCTAAACAAAATGAAAATTGAAAAATAACCTCAGCAGACGGCATGTATATCTGGACCCTATCGTTAATACTAATAGCTGAGGAACCGTAGGCACAGTCAGGGGTACTACTTGTACAAGTAATCTTTATTTACTTAGCTTGAAGAAGTAAAAAAAAAATATACTTATATAAGTTAATTATAATGTTTGAATAATCTCCCCTTAATTTTCTCAAAAATTCACTTGTATACATAGATTTTTTTTACAATCCCACACAAAAGTTCTCAAGTTTTGAGATGTAAAAACATGCCTTTAATGATTTTTCCCAGGTTACCTCATAATTTTTAATTAGAGTTCATTGTTTCATCTCATTAATTCAACAAAGAAACTGATTGCGCAAAGATCTTAAGTATTTGTGCAAGGCCTTCAAAAATTGCTCCTTGGGGGCTTGTAAATGAGCAGTGTTCTGAAGATAGCAGACAAATGATATTTGCATTGTCCATGAAATTACACTTAAATGATTAGTTAAGACATCTGCAAAGGACAGACAATTTAAAATTCTATTAGAGCAAAGAAGTTCTAAGAATTCAAGAAAAGAAGATAGGACAATGTAGGATGACTTTTTCACTTATATAAGTAAAAAAATCTGAATGTCTAAGGGACATAATTAAGCCAATTTTTTTTTTACCTATACAAGTAAATAAAATACACTTGTATAAGTATCCTACAAATTTACTTATATAAGTGTATTAATATTACTTCCTCAAGTAAATAAAAATTACTTGTACAAGTAGTACCCCTGACTGACGTATATCGATAGCTCTTGTGGTCCTTATGATATATTTTGACAATCATTTTGGATCTATGGTCCTGAATTGTCCAAAAATACATGTATTATAAGGACCATAAAAGCTACAGTTCTGCTGCTAAATTGTTTACAGAACAACAAATCCAGAAAGAATAGGTCAGGAATAAGTGTACCGGTAATTGGTAGATCATACCATGCTCAATGCATGTTCTTCCAACTGGTGTTTAATGCGATCGTTTTTTTAATGCGAAGTGGGTGACACATTGATAGTAAAAAAAAAACAGTAAATAAATTTTTTTTTAGCAAATTATAAAGTAAAAAGAAAATTTATAATAAATAGAAATCATCCCAGTCATATCATATGATATGTTATAATTATAGGACTAAATTTAGCCATACTTCATTTATAATATGACAGTCCTTTAGAATTATTTACCTTTAATAATGAGATTGTTCTAGCTAAGCTCTATACCGGCCTTCGATACCTTAACAGTGATATATTCATGCCAGGGAAAATACATACAATATTGTGAATCAAGCACCAATCTCCAAGAGACAGCAAGCGAGTATCTACCAAGATTAAACTGTTAACTGGTACTTATATACTTCAACCACTAAGATATAAGATATACAAAGAAGGAACTGAAGATCAGTATATCATGTATATTGCTTGCGATTGTAAAGAAGAGACATTAGAACATTTGCTTATACAATGTGAAGCTTGGAATTACTTGCGAGATTCAATTCTACAAACAATTACAATGAATTAAGAACCTCTTAACCATTGTTAACTGCAAATGGTGAAGTGCGTGAAGAAGAACTTATAAGTGAAATGACAATACAAGTATTAAAGGACATTACATGTACTAAAATATAAAAGAGATATAGAATCACATCGACCTGATGTTTAAAAAAGAATTTCAAGCAAGAAGGCTAGTGTTCCTCATACACAATACACGATATCAACTGGTGATGAAAGACCAAGCAAGGAAATAGAATGCCTTGGAGTGGGTGCAAGGATATGGAAGGGGCAGCAATGAATAATTAGATAAATAATTAATAATGTACTTAATTATATTTTTGAAAGCATAATTCTTCTATTAAATCTTATAGTTCATAATGAATAAATTTTTTGCGAATTATCTTTAAAAATATTTTTGAAAACATAATTCTTCTATTAACTCTCATAGTTCACAGTGAATAAATTTTTGGCGAATTATCTTTAAAAATATATAGGTGAATTTTTCTAATCTCTAATCTCTATAAATATACTAAATATAATATCAGAAGACCAAAAACTTTAAACTTCCCAATGTAAAAAGTCATAAAAACTTAAAACTTCCCGATGTAAATAGTGTATATAATGTTTTTTTTGTTGTGATTTTAATTTTCATTATGTTGTATATTTCTGGTGGTGGAACTGTTCGACATAGGAAAGTATGGTTACCCTATAAAGGGTGTAAAGATCCAGAGAAGAAGTTCATCCAATATATATTACCTGAAAACTTTACTGTTTATTGAGTAATACTGCTTTTATAGTTAATTAAGTCTATAATTTTGAGATTTATTAAAAAAAAATATGTCATTTTTACTTAATAAAAGTACAATTTAACTTCATGAATTTGATTTGTGTGTTTTTTATGCAAGTTCCCATCTTGGTGTAATTATTCAAACTTGATTGTGGACTAATGGTTGCAGGACTAATCATCAGGTATAAGCATTATTTTTTTATGAAGAGTACATGTTTGATATGATAATTTTACATCCCTTAATTTTAATATAACTAATAACAACATGATCAAGTTACCTGAACAATGCTGAAGTATTTACTATTTGAAATATGTGTGATAAAAGATCTGTTAAATCTGATCCATGTCTCTCATCCTGACTTCACTTGATATACTATTATACCCCTCTCTGTCTGTCTGTCCGTCCATCCCATGAAATTTCCATTGCATTTTCTTCTCAAAACTACAAACCTGAGCTTCCTGAAATTTGTTATATGGCTTCATGTCAGTATGCTTTACTCTGTGACATGGTTTCATGTCAGTATGCTTTACTCTGTGACATGGCTTCATGTCAGTATGCTTTACTCTGTGACATGGTTTCATGTCAGTATGCTTTACTCTGTGACATGGTTTCATGTCAGTATGCTTTACTCTGTGACATGGCTTCATGTCAGTATGCTTTACTCTGTGACATGGTTTCAGATTCATTGCTCATCAACTTCCTGTTTAACGAATACTTATAAATTCTAAACTTAATAACCTTGCATGAAATTTTCATCACACTTTTCTAGGAAACTACAAACCAGAGCTTCCTGAAACTTGTTATATGGCTGAAAAAAATCTTCTTGTCCTCTTCCCTACTAGTTTTTGTCTCGCCTTGACGGAGTCAAAAAGCGAGACATAGGTATGCTGTTTCCGGTGGCAACGGCAGCGTCAACAATGTATAGTTTGTGATTAGGTCTAGTTTATGGTGAACCACTAGTGGTAGGTCAAATATATTTGGTATGCAGTTGTATTAGCATTGGAACATCTCATTTACATGGAGATTATTTAGCCCCGCCCCCTCAGTCAAGGTCTATTGACTTTGAAACTTTGCTTAGTTTACATGTATTAGTTTGTGATTAGGTCAGTTTATGGGGAACCACTTGTGGTAGGTTAATGATATTTGGTATGCAGTTGTATAAGCATTGGCATATTTCATTTCCATTGAGATTATTTGGCCCGGGCCCCTCATTCATGGTCTATTGACTTTGAAACTTTTGCTTAGTTTTCATG